AGTAATATGCAGATTGGCCATCACTCCAACACACAAGATGACTGTGCCATGTGGTCAAAGATACTGCTCCCATATGGACACAAGATGGCCAACACAAGATGGCCAGCAGGGGTGGGCAGTTGGGAGGCACCAGGCCTGCAAGGGAGGGAAGTTGAGAGGGACCATGTCTGCAAGGGAGGGCAGTTAGGTGTGAGCAGGCCAGCAGAGGAGGGAATTTGGCAGCAAACAGGCTGGCAGGGGAGCAGTTAGACATCAATCAGGCTGGCATGGGAGTGGTTAGGGGGTGATTAGGCTTGTAGGCAGTAGTGCTTAGACACAATCAGGAAGGCAGGCAGGTGAACAGTTGGGAGCCAGCAATCCTGGATTGTGAGAGGGATGTCCAAATACCTGTTTAGACCCAATCCTGGTGGATTAATATATATATATATATATATATATATATATATATATATATATATATATATATATGTGTGTGTGTGTATTAATTTGGACATTGATGAATGCATAGGCAATCAATGGGTCTCAAAGTGTGGTCCCCAGATCAGCAGAATCAGTATCACCTGGGAACTTGTTGGAAAGGCAAATTTTCAGGCTGTACTCCAAAACTACTCAATCAGATGCTTTGGAGATAGAGTCTAGCAATTTGAATTTTAACAAACTCTTCATATAATTCCAATGAATCTAAAGTTTGAGAATTACCATAGTAGAATGTGATAAATGGCATACTGAATATTGATAGCATATTTTTGTGTGTGTGTGTGAAAGTCAACATCTTCATGTAAAAAGTAAAAATAATACACTTACATTGCATATTGTCTGTACATAAATTGGCTCACTGATTCCAAGCTTCTCACTTTATTTGGAATCATCTATAGGAAAATCACTAAAGATTCATAGTTGTAATAATGTCAGAATATTCTTGTTTCAAATATTTATCAACTAGAGGCCCAATGCATGAAATGTGTGCAAGAATGGGCCTTCCACCGAAACCGGTTTGGCTCAGTGGTAGAGCATCGGTCTGTGAACTGAAAGGTCCCAGGTTCGATTCCGGTCAAGGGCATGTACCTTGGTTGTGGGCACATCCCCGATAGGGGGTGTGCAAGAGGCAGCTGGTCGATGTTTCTCTCTCATCGGCGTTTCTAGCTCTGTCTCTCTCCCTTCCTCTCTGTAAAAAATCAATAAAATATATTAAAAAAAAAAAAAAAAGAATGGGCCTTCCTTCCCCTGCTGCTGGCACCACCTTTGCTCTGGCTGGAACCGCTTTTTCACTCAGGTCCAGAGCTGCCTTTCTGCCTTCCCATGCTGCCCAGAGGCTTGGAGCGGCTGGATCAGTGCAGAACACCTACATCTCGCCCTGCCCCCAGCTACTAGGTGCCTGTGTATGCAAATAAACCCATCATCTTTGTTGGTTTAATTTGCATATTCACTCCTGATTGGCTGTTATGTGTTGCAAAGGTACAGTCAATTTGCATCTTTCTCTTTTATTAGTGTAGATAGGTGTGTGAACATGAGCAAGTCATCTATAAAGTAGAAATAATAACACTTCCTTTGCAAATTAATTGTGAAATTATAAATTACATGTATAAAGAACCTGGAACATACTAGAAACTCTAGAGAGGATTGTTGTTGTTGCTATTATCATTATTAAATTATAATTATAATTATTATTATTACTATAATGCATGACAATTATTCAGTTAGCCTTGTAAGTATGCAGATGATTAAGTGATGTGATCTGAATTTTGAAACAGGATAAGCTCTTTGCTTCAAAATATCAACCCTACCACCTGTCATTGTATCAACTTCACTTCACTTTGGCTAATATGTTCTATTCAATAAATTTTTATTGGATAATGGAGTGAATAAATAAATATATTGAAGTATAATTAACAAGGAGGATAGAGGAGAGATGTTACAGTTGATATCTGTATTCACTCACATGTTAGTGTTTTGTTAAGAATTTGTCAAGGGCTGATAGAAATGGGGTAAATGATGCATTCCCTTTAAAGGGTGGAAACAGGTAGTGAAAGTAAAAAGAGTTCTTGCTAGTGGGAAAAAACTAAAAGAGAGAAAGTATTCCTAAGTGATGTTGGGGATGTTCTCAAATGCATATTGTGGCTGAAACTAGCTTGGCTCAGTGGATATAGCATCAGTCTATGGACTGAAAGGTCCCAGGTTTGATTCCAGTCAAAGGCATGTACATTGGTTTTGCATCTCCGGTGGGGAGTGTGCAGAAGGCAGCTGGTCAATGTTTCTCTCTCATCGATGTTTCTAGCTCTCTATCCATCTCCTTTCCTCTGTAAAAAATCAATAAAATACATTTAAAAAATGCATATTGTGTATATTTCATGTTTTCTTTCTTGAGCTTGGAGTTGGCAATGGGACCAAACATCACAAAATCTGGTCTAAAAAACAATTTTATAATATTACTTATTATTCCACTTGACTGATTTTTTATTGAATGGACTGGACTCCTTGCTTGGCTGAATTAGATGGTTATTTTTGCATACCTCTGGTATTTTTAAAATCACCTAGTTCCAGATGAATCTAAACTCTTAGTCTTGTGAACATTTATTCTGTTTGTTTTTTCCTGGGGAAGAAAACAGGAAGTATCCCTTAGCAACTTATATCCATTGCTCTTTCTTAGAGAACTATGTTTAGTTTACTGGTTACAGACTATTTACACCAAGTTATTATATTTGGTTCTGAGAGCCAATTTTTCTAATAGTCATGATATGCAAAATTCATTGCTTTATGGCAGACACTGAGGATATAGAAGATATTTTAAAAATACTGAAAAACTTTGATGAAACATGTTTTTCAATTCGATGTACTTATTTACATCACACTGAAACATTTTTGCATTTTAAATTTCTGTAGGCAAAAAGGCTTCTAAAATATTATAAGATTTTCTTTATTGACTTGCTTGTTACAGATGTCCAAGTTGAAAAAAGTACATGTATTTTGAAGTTGATTTATTTGATAATCAGATTTGTAGTTCCTACAGTTTTCATCTAGGTAGTTTTTTATGACAATGAAAAAATATTCATAGTTAGTTATTATATTAAAGAAGGAATTTCCAGAATGGAGATTGATGGGTACTAGGGCACTAAGATTTTTACAAGATTTCTGTTATTGTAAACACTATCTCTGTGTGCCCAGAAGACATTTTTTTAGTGTGACCAGAGCCACGGCTGAGGCATAGTTCCTGGTAGAAATTCCTCCATATCCTGTAGACAAAATTGTGCCCTGTGTGAAGCTCCAATTGTCCAGAGGGTGCCTTAAAATAACAACAACAACAAAAAACAAAACAAAACAAAACAAAACAAAACAAAACAAAAAAACCCTCCCTGTATACTGGATTATCAGCTCTACATATTCATGATAACTGAACTACTTTTAGTATTACTCTCTACAATAATTAGTTAAAGGTTAGATACTTGTGAAAAAGGGAGGGAGATTCTGTAAAGCAAGAAACTATCAAGCTTAACGAGCGATCCTGTTGTAGAGGAAGAGGATCTCTGACGAGGGACATGAACAAATTCTCTGAACAACATGCTATGTGACTGTACTGACTAACTTGAAATTTCCAAAGAGTTACTTTATAAGATTTTATACTTGATCAAAAGCATGTTTAAAATCCTAATCTGGAATTACCTACACATCCAATTATGAACTGGTTATTTTGTGGTTATACCACAGTACCCAGGTTGGTCATGGTTATACATTTTTTTTTTTTGGTTATTAAAAAAAGTGAAGAATACTGAAAATCTAGCATTATAATCCTGAGAAAATTACAAAGAAAACTTCCAAAATTATTTTTAAACAACAAGGGCCCTGGCTTTGAAGGTGACTATTTCGACAAAGAATGGGTAAAGGAAGTGTACTGACATTTAGTCAGTTCTTCCGAGAGGCACTCTGCCAGTGTGTATAATGAACATGGGAGCCAGATTGACTTAGATTGACTTGAATGACAGTTCTATAATTTATTAGGTATGTGACCTTAGAATTTCTCAATTTATTCCACAAACTATTTTGGTAACTAACGCCTATACTTGTAAAATTTTAAGAATTATTTTTTGAAAGACATTAAACCTATATCTGGCACATAGTAAGTCATTAGTAAATGTTTAAATTGTTAATATCATGAAAAGCTTATATATATTTATAAACATGGGCATATAAATGTTTATAAATCTATAACCAATACCTACTTCAGTCTTAGCATGAGGTAGGCATTGTTTTCCTTATTTTGTAGATGGGCATGCAACCTGCTTACTCTTAGAGGAATTAATTAGCTGGTGCGAAGTTCAGAGAAGCAGTAAACGGTTGGGCCAAGAATAGAGCTTAGCTACAAGTAATCATATTTCTCCTTTCTCTTGTGTCAATTTTGTAAAATAACCAAGACACATTATGGTGCCTTTTAATAGCCTTTGTCTACGGGCACCAGCTTAAACCTTGATGGACAGAGACTGTGTGAATCAGATCTAGAAATCTGATTCTAATAAAATTTGCTAAGAATCTATCTTTGATTTTGCTACCATCATTAGTATTGTCAGCTACATATGTTTTTCTTCCTGCCTCTAGTTGCACAGTGGGATTGAATTTCCCTGTCCACTTTGAAGTTGCACCCGGCTATGTGAATTGCTTTGGCTAATGCAGTAGAGATGGAAGTGACTTGGCCCACTTCCAGTAGGAGGCTTTAGGAGTCAGGGTGTGATTCAGAAATTACTTCAGCATAAATGATTGCAGAAGTACACTGTCAAGATGGAGTTTCCATCACTGGACCGGTAATTGACTTATAGCATGATGGAGAAATATTGCTTGTTGTGTTAAGCCACTGAGATATTAAGGTCCTTTTGCTGTAGTATAACCAGCTTGTGCTGACTGATGCAACTATCGACCAAATCTGGAACACTGAGTAGCCAGTAAAGGTCCTTAAAGCTCACAACGAGAAGCGGGAGATGCTAAATCATGGTTACACAAGGCTGAATACACACCTTTTGTGCCCTCCTTTTGTCTGCTCGTTGATTTTGGTGGTAGATCCGACTGAAGTTGGATACAATCACTGGAACAGGTAGAGCAATGACCAAGACCCCACTCAATGAGCAGATGGATCCAAAAATCTTCCCTGCTATGGTTTTTGGTACCATGTCACCATACCTGGGTTAGAGAAGAAAAAAATATATATAGTTTAAGTCATAGAAAGTTATTTTTTAAAATATTTTAAAAAAATATTTTTTTTTTTGCTTTATGCCAAATGATTTTTTGGAGCAATCTATCTCTAATTCATAACTACAGTATACATGGCTTAAAACTTTAGTAAACCAGAAATAAAAAACATGTGAATATAAAAAGAGTATATTTTAACATTGCAGAAATTAATTCTAACATTTAGAAATCTCTTTGCTTGGAAAAATATTTTAAGGCAGATGATTTAATGATAGCTCTTTAATTTGTTCTTCCTATAATGTGGCATAGTTCTTTACATTTATTTAATCATAAATATTTATATGCTAAATTTTATAGGCGAGATAACACACTTTTCCACTTAATTTTGTTCAACATTGGATTGGTTATAAAATTTAAATAGAAAAAGTGGTACAGTCCATTCCTTTCATTAGGTATAATCACTTAATAAACTTTCCAAGGTCCCATTAACTTTCAACTTGTGAAATCCAATGACCATTTCTACATGATAATCTTACTCAGTCTCTCATTTGTATTTGTTATGTTGAATTCTCTCTCCTTGAAACACGTTTTGTTGGCTTCAGTATCAGAAAATTCCCTTCGTGGTGCTTTTACCTCATTGGCTGTTTCTCTATCTTCTCTCTGACTCTTTCCCCTTAACTGATTTCTAAATCTCAGGCTAATTTACTAGTAGGTCTCAAACCTGAGTCCTTTTATCTTCTCTATATACCCCTTCCCCCCCTTTGTGTGTGTGTGTGTGTGTGTGTGTGTGTGTGTGTGATTTTATCCAATCTCCTGGTTTAAAACTACTATCTACGTGCTGATAATATTCTAATTTACATGGACAGTCCTGATGTTTATCTTGAAAATTAGGCTCATATTTTCAGTGGTCTGGTCTGAAAATCCCTGCCTCTGGATGTTTAAGAGCCAATTAAGACTTAAATTAGCCAAAAAGAAACGTTCATTTCCTCCACTTCCTCTGCTCCCCTCAAATCTGCTCCTCCCACACAGTCTATCAGCTCTAATTCCATGGAGCTGCAAACCATCCAAATACCTACATCAAAATGGCAACAGCCACCCAATCCTCAGTCCCCTTATCTCATTTCTCAGCTAGTCTCGTCTCTGACCAAACCAAATTATGTCCTGTTTGGTTCTCTTTCCTTAGCCTCTATTTTCCCACAGTAAACCAAGCCATCATCTGTTGCCTGAGCCATGGAGATAGCTTCTTACCTGAACTCTCTTTTCCACATTTAACCCTTTACAATTTATGCCAACACAGCAGCGAGGATGAATGGTTTTAAACATGGCGATTGGACTGTGGCTACTTGGTTTCACCTTCTAATAGATTTGAAATGAAAAACCCAAACTCCTCACTGTTTTCTCTGAGGGATCTATGTCATTTCGTTCCTGCCTATATTCTGCACCTCCCTCCACCAAGCTACTGCCCTCCGGCCACACTGGCCATCTGGCTTTCTGTCACACGTGCAGGCCCCAGATCATCAACTCAGGTTGGGCCTGAAAGGTCTCCATTCCAGAAGTTAAATCCGGCTGCCTTATCCATGATGGTCTTGTTCTCTTCCTGACATTTTCCCATTTGATTACCTTCACAGTACTTAACACATAATACTTTCTAATTCTTTAAATGTATTTCTTTTCTGATTCCCCACCTGCCGTGCCAATATCAGAATATCACCAGGGCCTGTTCTATTTGTGTCTCATTAGCACAAAGCACTCTCATATTAGCCGAATGAATGCATTTTCCCTACCTCGCTCATACACATAATCCTAGGAATTATTTCCTCCCGGCAGGGCAAGAAGAAGGCCTCTGCTCTTGTTACTGTAGAAGTTCCCAGCTGCGGCATCCAGCCCCAACTACTGCTCCCTGGGGCCCTCAGGGGCTAGTCCTTAGAAGCAGGGCTCAGGAGAGCTCAGGTATTGGAATCCTGACTCCAAGGACCTTTCGGAGTATTTGGGGAGACATTATAACTTGAAGGGGGATCTGGGACATCACCGTTGTTTGTGTGGGAACGCGTTGGTGTGTCCGCATGGAGATGGGCGTTCTGAGGAACTGGCCAGGGAAAGGCTGCGGAGAGCGAGGGCCGGCCATGCTCAGTAGCACTGCCTTTGTGACCCCAGACCAGGCTCTGGTCCTCTGCGTCCAAGGCCCAGTCACTCATGCTTGTCAGTGTTCATGGGGGATCAGTAGTTGAGCTGATTCATCAGATCAAAAACGCCCACAGGTTTTGGCATCAAAATGATACTATTAATTTATCATGAAAAGTAATCATAACCCGAGAACTGGGAGGCTGTGTCCACATGAAACATGTTTCACTGGGAGAGCGAGACCATAGTCTGATTATTGTCGTGAGGAGATGGTGAAAACTAAAGGAGTTCGCAAGATGAGACAAAAAGGCTTGCAAACTTTCTGGCTGTAGCGATATGTCAGTAGAATATATGCGAGGTCAATTTTTTATAGAATGCCGTGTGCACGGGAGCCAACTTCCATGTTTGCCAAAGTCACATGGAGTGCCCAGCCCTGTTTTATAAACATCTTTCCCTTTGCACTGACCATGCAGCGGGCCCTGGAGAAATCAAAACTCACACACACCACCGCCTGCACACACACTGAGCAGCTTTGCAAAAGCCTCTTTTCCTCATTTTAATGTCTGCCAATTAGGATCTAGAAAGCGTTTCACAAAAGGAAAGTAAATGAGATTCAACTGTTTGTTATGGCCAAAGAAGACAAGCACTGAGTCTATGTAATTAAAATAAGCCTTTTAACATACAAGTACATAAAATAAACTGTAATAGCTAAACGAATCTATCATATATCATCTTTCCTGCCTTTCTCTAAGAGATTTTTAAAAATTAGTGTTTATTTAATACTTTTTTGTATTCTAGGCTCACTCTGTCATTTGGTAAGCCAGGCCAGCATACTTGTAATCATTAAAATTAAGAGCCTATGCGTATAGTGTGGCCCCAAAGCTCAGTAAGACTTTTTATTTATTCAGAACACAATGAATTGCTTTTATTTTGGTATGCATCCACCTCTCAGCAATTAGTGATCCTGAATAGAAAAGTGGAAAAACGCAGCAATGTGCCAGGAAGTCAAGCTCGCCAATTTGGGGGTTCTGACATGCACATCGTAAGACAATAAGCAGCTAGAAAACTGGCAGGTTCAGGTAGCAGATGGTGGAGGGATGGGCAGTGGAGATTCATGCACTCGGAAGAACTGCAGCTAATGGAAGGGAGAAAATAGATTGTGGGGGACTTGGTCAATGGGATTCTGGGTCATCTGATAGAGCTGGCTTCCCTGGGAAAGCAATGTTTGATGAGGTGCCTGGGATTCAACTAGAGAAAAAAAAAATCACTGTAGATCCTTCTTGAATGTAAACAGAAACTATAATGTAAATTAAAAAAGCAGGAAGTGCACTTGTTACTGGGGCGGGGGTAGGGGAGAATAGGTATAATGCAATATCTTGTTTGTTTTGGGATGAAATGGTAGAAAGTAGTGATGTGAACCAGCCTGCTGAAAGGCAGAACATCCATAGCCTAGCAAGTTCCATAAGGAAAAAGAGGTAAGAGATACTTAAGGGAGGGTTGATAGCATAAAGCTAAGCAAATCTGCACCAAATACCGTTACATTTACTAACTTACCTCTTACCTCTATCATATTTGTTTCATAATCCAAAATTCCTTCACAATCAAGAAAGGGAAGAGGAGAGCGGGCGATGTCTATGCAATGATTATGGTGGGAAGGAGCGGGGAGAAGAAATGGCTCCTTAGCTAGAGCATCCTCTCATCCTTTTGCTCTCACTTTAGAGCTGGTTAGGATGGTCTCTGGTTTGTGCGGCCAAGGCAGAGAGCGATGGTGAGAGGGCACAAGAGCGGAATGGGCGGGTGTAGAAGGTCCTCCAGGCTGTGCTGTGATTTTTCTTAAGGTTAGCCTCAGCCTGGGTTGCTTCCCAAGGAGCCCCACTGCCTCTTTCCACACAACCCTATGTTCTGCAGACATCAACTTTTCAAGTTCATGCCTGCCCTCCTCCCCTTCTTAAGACTGGGCTGCTGTTGGTACTTGTAATGCTTTAGGTATATTTTACTGCTCTGGGTATGATGGAGAAGATTGAGAAGTACACGGTGTGACTTGCATCTGTTTTCACAGCATCCATTTTGTCTCTCTCCTTCTTTAGGAATGACTTTGAGAAATGAAAGCAGGCAATTTTATCTATGAAGATGTCACTGGGCACAGAATCTGCTTGGGACTGGGAGTATCCATCTCTCTGGCAAAACCAGCTGCTTTCGTTTGTTTCACAGAGGCCTTTAAACTGGTATTCAAACTCTTAGTAAGAAGAAACACAGCATTGCATACCTTGGGTGTCCTATCTCTGAAACTCAGCGGAGGAAAGAGGTAGACTAGAAAGCTTTATCACAAGAAGTGATACTTACTTTGGCTAACTGATCATTTAATAAAATAGTGCCTACTATACTGTCATCTTTTAATGATTATTTGTATCCTAGGCAACTTGTGTACTGGTTGGTATTTCATTCTTTGTTCCATATGAAAACACACAGCATTTTTCCTGACTCCTTATTCTTAAATTTATGCTAAGCCCAGCAATATTATAGATTCTGTTCTCTCTCTCTCTCTCTCTCTCTCTCTCTCTCTCTCTCTCTCTCTCTCTGTGTGTGTTTTATCAGACTTTTATATTATATTTCCAGTCTTCAAAAATCCATTTGCCAAACAGTTACACTGACACTATAAATATATGGTTCATTTCCATAGACACATTTAAAAATATTTAAATAAAATCGATTCAAAGACTATAGGGACTTTTAAGGTTAACTAAAAAGAGAGGATAGCATAATATAGAAGAACACCTGCCAAGAAGTTGTCCATAATAAAAAAGAGCAGGCTTGAACTTTGCTTATTGAAGGGAAGCTTTCCCCATACTTCTTCTGCCTTCCTCTGCTTT